ACCCCCCCCCACCCCCAGCGCAGAAACGCGTGTACGTCTTTACGAAGAGTGCCCGTTTCTGTCTTTCGGTTTAAGCCAAAATTAAAGTATATTGACTAATTTTAGTAAGATTTCTTAATATTAAATTTCATGGATATCTGTCCAGTCGATCTCGATTTATTTATTGTGTACGGACAGACGGATCGATTTTAATAGGCTCTCTGCTTGGATAATATCGAACCCTTCTTCCTTCCAAATCTTTACCGATTCATCATAAAAAAAATTCTACCGCAACTCTTTTAACGTTTCAGAACTTAAGCAGTTAACAGATTGTAAATCAGCCAAACAATCTCTCATAGTTCTGCTGTTCTATAGATGGGACGCTTAGACTCTGATGTCTCGCCGTGGCGGTGTAATTCATGTGGTTCAGAAGATTTGCAAGTCCCGCGTTGTATTCTTTCCTAACTCAGTTTGGTCCAGTCCACCTACGCCATGCTCCAGTCAGCAAAACCGGTTCCTGGATTCCTAACATACAGTGTCTTAACAGACCGACATGAGTTCCTGCTGGGTTTTTCATATGCTATGCGCTATATTGCAACAATTCGCAATGCAAAGCAGGGAGCAGTTAATCTGCGCAGCAGTGAAAATATTAAAGAAATTCTTTGCCATCATCTCCCAAGCCCTGAACTTTTATTTAAAGGTTTCCTTTCCTCACAAGCTGACGTTTTAAAACGCTATTCAAAACAACAACGACCTAAGTAAGGCTGTAATGATATTCGGTCCCAGGAATGTACGAATAGTTCTTTCATGACAAATATCGTTTTATTTAAAAATTAATTTTTTTACAAGAAATTTATTTGCACACACTTTGATAAAATAATCTCGAAGAAATGTAAAAAGGAATTGATTGAGAAACCCCCAGGTGATAAGATAATTTTCGACACTAGACGTGTACGTATGAGACGATGATAAATATCTACAAACATAAGTAGCGACTATAAAGTGAACATGCTTGAACGACTGAGAGTAGGATGTGATCACTGGCTTTTGAGAACACGATGAACATTTGGTCTCCATAAGAGCTTCAGACTTCGTAGTTGTTAGCGTAATTATTATCTGGTCATGAGGAATTTTATACCATGGTGTTAGTTAACGTTTATACATATAGACGAGTTCACTTTATACATTTGCTAATAAACCTATACGTTCTGTCGTGACTTTGAAATCCTGGTCAAAAATCTAAATCTAAGATAATGGTTATAGCGATTCGAGAATTTTTATGTTCGGTAACAAACAATTACATAGCTTAAACAGGTTAGTAAAGTTTCTAAACTCAGGGCTAGTGAAAATTTCAGGAATTCACGACGGCGAATGTGAAGATAAGTGTCATCTCCTTGTAGTCTCGTAGAAACGACGTTTCAGAGGTGATTACAGCCTCCATCATCAGGATTTCTACCAAATGTGTCTAAAAGATTGTCTATTTACTATTAAAAAGCCTGAAAATTTTCGTCTTGAGTAATGAATAGTATTAAAGAGATTACTTAATGGTTCACGTTTCAGTAGCTTTATTACTGGTTATGTTCTCGTATTGTTGGAATTAGGTCGCTCTTGTACTATGCAGTCAGGTGGATACCTGCAAGCAGGCCTATTCCTCGTCAATCAGCGAAGCATCAAACGATCCCTGTGACATGAATTATTTCGAAGAGGATTTTGAAATCGATTCCTTTCCTCGACTTGGAGGAATGAAGTCTCGATTGTGGACAGTGTGATTCAACACAAACTGCGCACAAGTGTTTATGTTGGCGTCAGAGGATTGAATGAAATGACCACACCACATTCTGAACGCAGAACAGATCTTTGATAAAAAATAAGGAGTAGGCCGAGAGTAGGATAAGGAAATGAAAACAAAGGAAAAATTGGAAACGGAGAAGCACTAGAATAGAGAAGAATGTATGATCCATAATATATTCTTCGTCCAATATACAAATACATAGATCGTACAGTGCAGATTAATGTTACTGACAAAATAGGACACGCAGGATGAGAAGGAGGGGAATGAAAAGTGCAAGGAGTATAAGATAAAGAAAGAAATGTATTTTATGTTATCTCCATAGCATTATTTTTCACAAAACAATAATGTTGAAAAATGTAATACTTCCTGTTGACTGATTTGGGTCTCGGAATGATAAACAAGTAAACCTATTAACCGATGAAGATTTCTGTCTTCTGGGTTGTTGCGCTGTGTAGTCTGGTCGATGTTTAACAACGTTTCAGAGGTCATACTGCCTCCGTCATCAGGGCGATGAGTATGAAGATTTCTGTCTTCTGGGTTTTTGCGCTGTGTAGTCTGGTCGATGTTTAACAACGTTTCAGAGGTCATACTGCCTCCGTCATCAGGGCGATGAGTATGAAGATTTCTGTCTTCTGGGTTTTTGCGCTGTGTAGTCTGGTCGATGTTTACCAACGTTTCAGAGGTCATACTGCCTCCGTCATCAGGGCGCGTTAGTAAACATCTACCATACTACATAGCGCAACAACCCAGAAGACAGAAATCTTCATACTCACCGCTGTGAAAACCTCAAATCAAACCTATTAACCCTTTGAACCCGAAGGGGGGGAAGAGAGAGAGAGAGAGAGAGAAGAGAAAGTGTACAATGTCATCCTGAGGTTCACCTTCGCTTTATATGGCGTGTTTTAGCTTTAAAGGGTTGTCATGATCAAGGACCTGATAATGGAGCTAGTAAGCACGTCTGAAACGTCGGTAAGCTTCTACCAGCCTACACGGCACTACAACCCAAATTAAACCGCCTTCTAAATATGTCTGGTTTGCGTTCTTGAAATCTTGCCTTAAATTAGGCAACGACCACTTCCTTATGCATCATTTTTCCACTCATTATTCATCCACCGTTCTACGGTATTTAACCTGAGCTACCGAACGCGTACTTAAATAGACTATTCAAAACTTCATCCGCTTTTATTTATTACGCTCAGTCGAAAATAATTTTACATTTAACCTATAACACGCGTGGCGATGGAAGCCGTGTACAAATAATACTTACCAGCATTACACAATGAGAATGTTATTAGACGTAATAACCACATAGAATTTACTGATTATTCAGTCTTCAGATGAAATCAATTTAAACGTAGCTGAGATGAAATGCGGTTTGTTCTTTATTGTTCACGCAGATTATATGGAGTATGTATACTTGTTGAGCATTCTTCTACCATTCTCTTTTTTTATTCAATAATTTCAGCCATCTTGGCTTTCGCATTAAGTCTACAATAGACTAGATGACAAGCTTTGTATTTTAAATAGACCTGCGATATATACTTTGTATGCGCGATCGATGCTGAAAATGCGATGCATTATTGTTTATTCGCTTTTGTTTTATTTGATTGTTTTTTTTTGTATTTGCCTTTAGTCTAATGAATGAGTTTCTGCTTTGGAAAGGAGGAGTGGGTGGTTTTCACACTAGGAAGACCACACAAGTTTTCCAATCGTTGAATGATATTGTTTTATATTCGTTTAGTTTTATTTCTAACATCACCCATGTATTTATCTCTCTGATGGTAGACAAACATAAACGTTAAGTGAATAACAAACAGTTGAAGAAATATAAGCGACAGTAGTATGATTGTTAAGAAATGATATATTTTATAGAAAATTGGCATTTACAGCATAAAAGTGGATTCTAAGTCATTTAGATGGACATTTAGTGCAATAATTATGTTGATATATTCAACTGTTTTTCGTAAGTTTTAAAACAACCAGTATTGCAGAATTTTTAAATATTTTTCTTATAGTAGTGCATGAATAAATGTGTGAATAGCATAAAATCACGTATTTTCTTTATAGTCTTGTGTGTATTAATGCGTACGTACTCAATAATTATCGCCTTTTCAGGAACTATCCTGAGCCAATTAATTTGCCGTTGTTTGCATCAGCCATTATGTTTATGCAGCTGAGCTGAGAAATATAATCGTTGAGATTCTTACACCTTAATCAGAAAACAAAAATGGATACAATACATCGAAATCTTTGCTTTTGTAATACCACCTAATTGCAATATTGTAGTTCTATTTGACACAACACTTAAATTAAAATATTTATCTAATTAAACTAATGAATAAATATGTCACAGTTTCATGGTAAGAGGCTTCGAATAATGGTTCTCTTTGGTACTAATTTTGCCACGTTTATCCCTAAGCGTGGTTGTCGGTTCTGGAACAAACTATCGTAGCTGTAGGAATGATTGTTTCGATTATAAAGCGTAAATAATTCAGTCAGGTCCGTCCAATCCTTAGTGCGTCCTTCACTAGAGTGATCAAACAGTGTGCTGCATACCTATTATAAAAATCATACACTCTGGGCAGAATACAAAGTTATTAAATATTAAAGTTTTTAAACTAATAATAATTACAATATTGTTTACTACCGAGACACAACTTCACGTTGTTGCCAGAGTAGTAATTTTCGAAATACACATACGTATTGAACACACATTTAATAAAGATTTTAAAATACATTTATATATATAATTAACACATAACATTTCTCGTATTTATGTAGTCGTTGATTAAGCCGAGAACTGTAATATAATTCACTATTAATATATGTGTTATTTGTCTGTTGCAGGACCAGGGTACAGGGCATTGAGCGACAGCTGTTGGACAACATATTAACAAAAAGTGAGTTTAAAATATTATGTCGTAGTGTGTATTACGAACAATTTTCTGTGAATATTTTGGTTTAACGTAGAAACAGGATCCGGAAAGGCACATCTGGTGCAAGTTCAATAATCGATTATTGAAGTTAACATGCGATTTGAGTTGCATGGACTTATGATACATTTGGTGGTGCACACACATTACAGATTACCGGAAAGTAATCTGTCGGTGTCTGAACGGAATACGAAGTTATGAATTATAGATTTATCAGAAATGTTCACTATGTTGGAATATACCCACGTCGTGGAAGTTTCCAGTGAGGCATCCCGGCGTGACAAGCAGGAACATGAGTTTAAAATATTTTGAAGTAATTCACAGGAAATCCTGTACCATGAAGTCAATTTATTTGCGAAACCTTAGTACCTGCGCAATATCGGGGTTAAAGTAGGGAATTAACCGCACTCATCAGATTCACCAGAAGTCCGCGTAACATTTGCACTCATCTGTAAGTGCAAAGGGGCCCCAATTTGTTATTTAGCTTTAACGTACATTTCTGTCTTGTAGAAATTCCCCCATCGCCTGCAATCTATTCCTTCAGCCACCCCCTCCCTTATATAAATCTACCGCTCGACATTCACACCCTTTCACACAATCGTCGTCACATAATAGGGCGCTTTATTACACCATAGGGGGTAGAAGTAGTCATAATAATAATAACAATAATAATAATATTCTTGTATAGACTTAGTTTGAATTACGTAAGAGGGGGATTTGTGTCACTACTGTTCCTACATTATGAACGAATGTCAGGAGTTTGCTTTCTTGTTTTGCTACTTTTGTTAGATGTTTTCTTAGCACAGCAGGGAGTGCCTTGCGATAAGCTCAGAGCGTCTTAACATATCTCTTTCCCACAGAACACTGTCCCTAGAGACAAACAAACGTCGTTAGGGTCCCGAGGGATTCCCATTTCTTTTGCTGCTATCCACATTGTAATGAAGCATGCTGTAAACATCATGATCTTTTACTTTCTTATTCTTAATAGTTATTGTGAGACCGATAGTGATAATCTTATTTATCTTCATATTTATCATCGTCATCACAATTATCATCTTTCTCTTCCCCACCGTTATTAATGATCATGGTTTTCAACCTCCATCATAAATCTTAGATTCATTAATATGATATCCGTCGAACTGTGAAATTTAGATAGGGACAACACGACTTAAAATTGAATATACGGAATATATATTGGCTTAACGTTTATTACTTGTTTCGAAGATTTACTGCAGGTGAACACATACACTGTAAATAACACTATTAAATCTTTTCATTAATATCGATATTAGACTTTGTAGGAGTGAATCTGTCTATATTTAAGCTTACAGATCATATATATATATTACCTTTAGACATTAAATACATTTTTAGTTAAGTGATTCATAAAATATTGCAGTCTCCGGAATTTAACATGTTCATATAAGTCTGTGCCAGGTAATTAGGTATTTATTGATAATTATTGTTTAAAACAATCGCTGTTTATCCTGGGAATCATATGAAATCTATAAATAACTCATGGGCAAAATGAAGGGGTATTAAATGTCAAGGTAGATGGTACACGAAGGTTTCCACTGTGCTTTAACACTGAAGCCGAAGCTCGTCTAAATAATATTTAAGAATTAAGTCCGTACCGCAAAGAAAACACCACACTTTACCGTTACAAAGATCAACTAATTAATGCTGTTTAAGTAAATAATCGCGTTCACAGTTTAAGTAACACGAAGAGTTACTGATTGTTGAAGCAGGTGAATTATGTAATTATAATTTCACTTTAAAAGGTTAGTTTCAACCTCAAGCTTCGCAGTTTTCTACTTTGTAATGCAACAGCGTGCTTCAGCAAAGAGGTCAGGAAACGTATGTGGACACAAGGTTATTGCTAGTGGAGCGACTCGATCTACTGCGATGTATCGGTAATGCAGAGAGCGTTCATTGCTTCCTAGTGCTAATACTTACAACATCTGTGAGCGACAAAACAATGTTTCAAGATTAAGTCACGTTTCCCCAAGTAAATGCTTTGGATATCTATGCTTGATTGATTGATGGGATTAAAGTAGACTCAATTTCAATGGCTATTCCGAATGTCAGTACATTAAACAAATCAAACAAGAAATTAAAACCAGTGGAATCTTGTGTTCTAATGGAGTTTACGTATTAGATTCTCACGGTGGTGAAGATGTCATTGTAACGCCGTGTGGACTTGTAGGTAAGTACCAACACTGAAGATGGAGGCGGTATTGATCATCCTAACCGTCGGCATTTAACTACAGGTCCACACGGCGTTGCAAGTCAGAAGACTGACATCAACGAGCTTACGTGTTTTTACATATTACTTTGCATATTACATATTGTTTGCGTACCTACCGGGTCTTGGACGGCAAACATTTGTTGTTACAGAAGTAATAGCCAACAAAAATATGAATGTGCCTATGAAAGTCGCTAATTCCCTCAATCTGACGCGTGTTCGGTGCTGGACAACTGTTATAGTGACGTAGCTAAGACTCGCAGATATTTTGCGCCCTTGCTTATGTACATACACAGTTATGGTTCAGTTAACCCAAAAGTGAAGGGTATTTCTTGAAGAGTTTCTCAGCTGGTAAATACAAATTTTGTTTTTATTGAACCGGAGGTTTCAAGTATTTTCACGTAAACCCGCCATATTCCCCTATCCTGAGTAATTTTATTTCAGTTCACGCAATATTTAATTAAAATTCATTTTAATGTTATTTTCCCATCTACGTTTAGGTCTCATAGTTTTCTCCGTTCAGGATTTAAATAATCGCGTTCACAGTTTAAGTAACACGAAGAGTTACTGATTGTTGAAGCAGGTGAATTATGTAATTATAATTTCACTTTAAAAGGTTAGTTTCAACCTCAAGCTTCGCAGTTTTCTACTTTGTAATGCAACAGCGTGCTTCAGCAAAGAGGTCAGGAAACGTATGTGGACACAAGGTTATTGCTAGTGGAGCGACTCGATCTACTGCGATGTATCGGTAATGCAGAGAGCGTTCATTGCTTCCTAGTGCTAATACTTACAACATCTGTGAGCGACAAAACAATGTTTCAAGATTAAGTCACGTTTCCCCAAGTAAATGCTTTGGATATCTATGCTTGATTGATTGATGGGATTAAAGTAGACTCAATTTCAATGGCTATTCCGAATGTCAGTACATTAAACAAATCAAACAAGAAATTAAAACCAGTGGAATCTTGTGTTCTAATGGAGTTTACGTATTAGATTCTCACGGTGGTGAAGATGTCATTGTAACGCCGTGTGGACTTGTAGGTAAGTACCAACACTGAAGATGGAGGCGGTATTGATCATCCTAACCGTCGGCATTTAACTACAGGTCCACACGGCGTTGCAAGTCAGAAGACTGACATCAACGAGCTTACGTGTTTTTACATATTACTTTGCATATTACATATTGTTTGCGTACCTACCGGGTCTTGGACGGCAAACATTTGTTGTTACAGAAGTAATAGCCAACAAAAATATGAATGTGCCTATGAAAGTCGCTAATTCCCTCAATCTGACGCGTGTTCGGTGCTGGACAACTGTTATAGTGACGTAGCTAAGACTCGCAGATATTTTGCGCCCTTGCTTATGTACATACACAGTTATGGTTCAGTTAACCCAAAAGTGAAGGGTATTTCTTGAAGAGTTTCTCAGCTGGTAAATACAAATTTTGTTTTTATTGAACCGGAGGTTTCAAGTATTTTCACGTAAACCCGCCATATTCCCCTATCCTGAGTAATTTTATTTCAGTTCACGCAATATTTAATTAAAATTCATTTTAATGTTATTTTCCCATCTACGTTTAGGTCTCATAGTTTTCTCCGTTCAGGATTTTCGACCAAAATTTTGTAAACAATTCGTAATCCCTGTTTCTCTATTTTTTATTTGTCTCACAGTCCTTGATTTAATCGCCCCAGTAACACCGCGTGAACAGTGCAAACGACTGAGCTCCTAAATATGTATTTTTCTCCGTCCATATGTTACATTTCTATACATTCTCTGAACTTTAATGTTCTTTCTTTCCTAAAGGCGAGAATATATAACACGTAAAATTAGGCATATTTTAATTTGTAAGTTCTTAGACGTTGTACAAAGAAATACGGTAAAATATTCGTAGATGATTGGTAGTAAACATTTTTTGAATGACACCTGTTCTTTTATGATTAATTATACGTAGGTATATTTTGTTACGAATGTGATTGTTTTATAATGTACACGATAATAGTGATTGTATATCCTTAAGGTACATAAAAGCGATAAAGCAAGCAACAAGAATGATTAAACACCAGCTACTTTATTAATTGCTGAAGCCTTTTAGTTAAGCTTAGTCACCCGTCCCCAGTAATCTACATTTCCACTGTGTTAGAGAACATAATACTTGGAGAAATTACTGTTTAATGTTATCTTGTAACGTTTTGTTATTTCCCTTCTCTGCTTTTGGCCCGTCTCTGGTTGGCATTCACTCTCCCACGCAGCAAAACAAGAGTGGTCTAAGTTTCCTATACATTTTATACGTCTATTTATATAAGCAGTGTACTGGATCTGTTTAAAGTTGTCGAACGTTTACGTGTGACAAAATGGTTTTATGCCATAAAATTAATGATCGTATAACTAACAACGCATCATAGTGTCTTTCTGAGAAGTTTATAGTCATTTAGCTGACCAAGAAATTCCTTAATTTCATGGAACACAAATGTTCATTACAGTGCTTACGAAAGCGTGGCATTTTGCCTATGCTCAGCCATATTGATCCAATCCATATCTTCATCTCGCTTTTCTGAGATTAGTTTCACTATTATCCTTTCTTTTACACTCAAGTAGTTCTCTTAAGTGTCTGTTTTATCCAAGGTTCCCAATTCTAAATTTTATACGCAGTTCTTCCTGTTGCCACGTTTGTTACATGTCCCAGTTACATAATTTTGTAATTTATTTTCTATGATTTTAGTTG